TGAACAAACTCAAACCCATTAAAAGTGGTCATAGATCGTAGTCAGCCCATGTCCCTGGTGCTGAGCTCGTAACTTGTATTCAAGCTCTGCCACTAAAGCCTAGCTGGCAAATCTACGGTGCATGGTGAAACACAGAATAATATAATGGGACTGTGGGTTCCCAATTTTTGAGACAAATATATACCAACTCCATATCAGGGTTGCCATCATCATCCCAGGGAGAATAAAACACCATTTGAAGCCAGCAACCAGTTTCTTCTACCTTTTGTCTTATCATGTTGATCAGCTCATGAAAATCCCATATATATATAACTTATATAACCCATATATAACCCATATATAACTCTAAATCCCCATTTAGCTTTTCTAAAAACGACGAACATCGTCCCTTGGCAGGCCTCATAGGTTGAAAAGTCCTCCACCTCTGATGCCAGGGCCTGCAGCTCAAAAATGGTTCCAGGTTTTGAGGTTTCTATAATTTGATGTATGCAAAATGTTGAACCAAAAATGAACAACATAATCCATGAGAATCCATTCAAAAATATCAGATAATCCATTTAGGGCACTTTCTGAGCATTGAAAGGATATGAAAGGATTATGTGATCCCCTCTTAAGATCTTTTTATAGACACTCCAACAAATGCAATCCCAGTATGAACGAATCCAAAACATTTTACCGTGTCCGAGAGGGCTACTGGGGGAAAGGAATTGCCGGGGGTTCCCTAAATAGATGTGAATCAGCAGCAACATTTGGATGTGGGTCAAAATGGAAGACCTAGGGGACCACAGATGTTAGTCTAGTTTAGTATTAACCATCCAGAATTTTGGGGTACCTAATTTTGACCCATACCCATTTTGGGGAACAACCGCTTCTTTCTTTGGGCCACACCTGGCGCAAAATGAAAAACCTGGAGCCTGGAGATCGAAATTTCCACGGCAACTTCCGTGGTATCTTGGGGCTCCACGGCTCCACATTTCTTTCAAGGGCTGGTAATCTGATGTACCCTCTGGTAAACTAACATAGCTATGGAAAATCACCATTTTTAATGGGAAAACTCACTATAAATGGCTATTTTCAATAGCTATGTTAGTTTACCAGAGGGTAATCAGCCCCGGGGACTTGCCTTGTAGTAATGTGCATTTCCATCCAGCACAGCTGACAGGGCTCTGTCCGTGGCGCTCTCCACCAGGCGAAAGTTGGATTTCTTGCCGTGCAGCCCACGGAACCTCGAGGGATCTCGGGCAATGGCAGGGGGGTCGTGTCCTTTGAGGTGAATCCGCGGGATCTAAAATTAGTCATCAATGGTCCAATGGTCATAGAAGCCTTACAAACAAAAATAGGGAACCCACTTGCAATCAACATGGCAGCATTCAAAGGAAACAAACATCTGGAAATCTTTCAAAGTACGCTTCTGAATTTCATGCCACATCAACACCGCATTGAGCGACTGAGGTGCCAAATGCCTTAGGATCGTTAGGATGATAACCTGAGACCAACCTGTTTTGCCCTTTTTCCACATTTAGTTTAGCTCATGAGCACCCATATCCATCATGAGGTGGGTCCCTCACTACCCATCATTGATAATTAGATTCTATGGCAAGGTCGTTTTGAGGTCATCGCAACTAGTCACGGTGTAGATTCATTTTTCGCAAATTTGGGGAGGAGAAGATAGAAAGACGTAACCCACACCAACCAACCATGCACCAACCAACCATGCACCAACCAGCTTTCAGGTTGCAATTACCCATGTTGCCCATGTTGCCAAGGCTTCTTGACAGGGTCCCTGGGTCTTCACACGCATGTGCCGCTGCCTCGTTGCCGATGCTTTTCACCTGGGACCGCCGGGAGATCGCCAAGTGGATGAAGCCCAACGAATCCACAAGAACAGCATGAAAGATGATATGATGATAACCTAAAGATCCAATCAATGAGATATCGTTCACATGATATGTATATTGTCATATTGTGTATATGCATATGTAATCATATGTATGGGAAAAAAAAACATTCGCAGCCAATGAGTATCAAACAACACATTCGCAGCCAGGACCATTCACAACTCTTTCAGATTCAGACCGGATCCAGAGTGGTAAGGCCTCGGTCAGCTTTCGACCCCACCAAATCATAGTGTCATGGGTGTCATGGGTGTGCCTGAAAACGAGGTATAATATGGTATAATACCCCCAAATGAAAACGAGGTCTAATATGGTCTAATACCCCCAAATGGCCATTTTGATGACTAAAAAACCATCAATTTTGGGGTACCCTATTTATAATATGGTATAATACCCCCAATATAATACCCCCAAATGGCCATTTTGATGACTAAAAACAACTGATAAACCATCGATCTTGGGGTACCCTAGTGAGTACCCTTTCCGAGGCTACTAAACGGCCTCCCAGCGTTTGACAATGCGGACAGTCAACAATCGTAGGTGAAAACGGGGGTCCCAGAATCTTCACGGATCTTACCTGATGCCACGTGGGTTTGTCCAAAAATGATCATACATGAAAGTATACCTTCACTTGTTCATACTTTTTAGGTATGTTCATTATGTTTATGGAACAATTATGATTAACCGGCGGATTTACCAGCGCATTACTACTGGTACGCTATTCTTGGACAAACCCACATTCCAATGGCACAAGGCCACAAGTGTGGCAAAGTGCAACCTTCAGTAACTTCACATAAGTTGACATCCACATGGGTTGGGTATGGCCCACAATAGGTCTGCATCAGGACATTCATCTTTGATCAACTTTGGGGGTCAGAACATCAAATATGTTCAGCCACAGTAGCATCCAACAATTCAAGATAGATGTGAAAAACCCATGATTCACCCAGGAGAGATCTCCGAGTGGTGGGTGTTCATTGGTGTTCATTGGTTTTTTGCCAGTTTTCTATGTTCAATTCCAGGCCACTTGTAGCATCCAAGATCCATCCCATCCCACATCCTTTTCCACGGCCGGTGGTCCCTGGATCGTCTCTGCCACATTACGTGTGTCCCGGCAACGCATTGCCGAGCCGGCGGCCGCTGTTTTCAAGGCGTGGCTCAGCCAGGCCCGTACCCAGAGTCCCAGCTGATGTTTGGGCACGCAGCCCTTCAAAAATGGTAAAACAACATATAAAGCCACAGTTTTTCTGTGATTCCAGATGGGTGAGAAGCAAATTTGATGAAATTTGCTGATACTTTCTGCGGTGAAATTCAAGAAACACTCCAAGTTGCGACTTCATTTTTGCTCGATTACAGACATCCTGGGATTCCAACTAATATTTCACACCTGTCCAGCTTCGAATTTCGAGAGGCACTGGACCATTTCCTGGACCTAGTAGCAGCTTCGGCTCTGTCATGCATAAACTTCGCTTTCAACGCTACCAATCACTGAGGATTTCTTACGCCAAAAGCTTCAAGATGCTTCAAGCAACATCAACCCACTGGTCATATTTGAATCTGCCAGTGTCTGACGCATCATTGTTCCTCCTGGCTATAAACCCCGAATGTCTTGTGGCCAAGGCATGGACTTCAGTCATCCCAGCGTCATCAATGTTCCAAATTGCACCCTTGATATCCCTTGATGCAAAGTGGGGTACCTGGTGAGTAAATCATAACAGGGTACATCCGCGTTTCATCCATCAGTGATGGTGTTTTTTTTCACACTGCTGCACTGTTCGGTTCTGCAGCACACCACGCCAGTTGCTCAAGTTGCCTCTTTGTCTGCCAGGTTCATGACACATCCCCAGCTTTTCTGTGCTGAACTGGAAAGTAAAAACTCAAGGCCTATACTGCCTATACAGTAGCACCAATGTAGCACCTTAATGTGGCAATGCAAAGTCCCCAGTTTCAAAATGCTTTCGTCACATCTTCTCATTGAAACTGTTTTCCACTGCCATTTGACCATATCATACCATACGAACTCTGGACTACCTAACCACGGCTCCTTTGCAAACTCATCACATAACTGTTGGTCCATCTTACAAAGAGAGCAACATCAGTTTCACGCTCAGCTGCGGAGGCAAAACAGCTGACATTGATAGACACTGCTGACTGTCATTCCGCGGATCCAGAAACAAAAAACGATGGCATTGATCAACTAATAACACATCTGGAAAAAATCATGATATATCTGGATCCTATCAGAAGTGACAACCATTCAAGATCCTTCAAGTGACTCACGGGGGTCACTGAGAAATCCACCCCAGCCGCCAACACTTCCACACACAAAGGATTGGTCACACGAGTTTTCTTCGCATGTGAGCGTTGATCGTTTGTGATTTTGATCTCAAGCTGTCGGACCGTCCCATTCAATTGCCTCATTGTGTTTTATTTAAGTTAATGAGAATCCCACCGTCCAACACTCATCACCCCTTGCTGCACCTACGGATAGGCCGCGTCAGTCGTGCCGAATCACGCCGTCCCATGAGGGCCAAGAGTCAATGCTATGGGCCCACCATCCGCACTTAGGACATTGATTCCTCAAGAATTCACAGGTGCATTGGTGTGAAGGGTATCAACATGTCATGGAATTTCAATCCAAAATATACAAACATCGGGATCCTCCAAACCCATTTTGCCCTTGTCAAAATCCGGTTGCCAAATGTTGACACGGCCTTTGCTTTTGTATGGCTGGAGTATGCTGCCCCGACACCTGAATTACTTGCCCATCTACGAAATATCTATAAATGATCACGGTTTTTCTTTTGTTGAAAAACAAAACCCAACAATGCCATCCCAAATCACCAGCCTAGTGGCCTCTTCCCCCGGTCACCCCACATGCCGTCCCAAGTGGCTGGATCTGCGAATTGCCTTGCCATTGCCAATGGTGAGCATCAAGATCATCACATCCTGCCTGACAAAAGCACGCCAGACCCAACCACTATGTATAAAATCACAAACACTAAGCAAAACTGTACAAACAACGCGTTGAAGTTTCAAAACTGTGGGCGATTTGGGGAAATAAACTTCAACATATTACATCATGTGGTTGTTTCTGCGGAAATG